ACTAATCCTTGACACACTCGTGAAGATGCATTGCATATAGATGACGCATCCGTTGAATTTAAGGGGGCTTAACGCATATCTTCAGGATAGACCTTCAACTTGAAACAATTGAATTCTTCATGATGTGAATAATATGCAAACAATTGACACTCGGTGTGACTAATAATTATTTTTTAGTAAAATTTTAATGGTCAGGAGTAAAAGTGAGAACTCAAATGTATACCTAATTAGATAAAGATAAATACTTCGATCTTTCAGTTTTCAACTGTACACTGACAAAAAAAAACTGCTAAAATCAACACATGAAATAGTGAAAAAAGGTGACAACTCATCAATATAGATTAAGAACACCAGGTTGATTTAACTAATTTGGTGATTTGTCACCGTATTTTAGCAATTTTTTTTTTTTTTTTTCAGTGTAAGGCGCATTTTATTTTAGGCAAATGTAACAATTTGAAATGATTCAATTCAATTTTTGATGAATCAAACATCAATTACCCCTCGGGCTTGCGTCGTATGAGCACTGGGAGAAAGTGAATGAGACGCGAAGAGAATTTGATCGTAAAAGACCGTCAAAACTAGTGATTCAGTTATCAAGTAGTTCAGCCAAAACTAGTGAAATCAAGTTTATTCCGCAAACTAGAGGCTATCATGTATGCAAATTGTTCAAAAGAAAATTCATGAAAGTATAATTCAACTGAAAAGGACAGGCAATTTTTCAAACATTCGCTTTGTTTGCCGACTAATGCTTAAATTAAAATTACTAAATTTCGACGTTTCGGGGAAGGTCCTCCGCAATGTCACATCAAGCTATGTGGAGAGGATTTTTTCGGTCAATTGAACAAAAAGGCAAAAGCACTTCTTGGTTAGGTTCAGTAAACAAGCTACATATTTTGGAAAATGGTTTTAAAAAAAAAGAAAAAGAAATTGAAAGTATACTCTGCTAATTTCATTCGCGGCACAACACTAAATCGCACATTTCTCTCTTTTACGGACTAAACAGCTGGACAAAAAACTTCCTAAACAAAGCAAATATATTTTTGCATTCAGCATCTGATTACTGAGGATGTTCTAGAAAACTGATACTCCGAGTGATATGAAAAATAAAAATTCACATTCGTCAAAAATGATTTCTTCTGATACCTATGTATTAACAAGTTCAAGTTAATTATCGCGGAATTTGAGTGACTTTCTAAGGACCCTGGAATTCTAACCGCCCGCCAAACGGCCCCTTGTTGAGGAAAGTTTTCGTCGCTTGGAGTCCTTAAGTGCTTATAACTTTTTGAAAACTCAATGGATCTTAATGAAACCCTTATACGCCATCCGTCTAACTTAGCTGCGTCCTCAGACACCAAGATCGTTCTTGGAATCCGTGCCGCCGTTTGGTCTGAATTCCATTCTAAATCGAATTAATTTTCAGATTAAAGAAGCTGTGTGTGACTAAGAGTGTTGGCTACCACTTAGCTATCGGGACTTCAGAAGGACGTCATTTTCCTCGACCGGGGGTGGTTGCCACCACTCTTGAAACACAGGTAAATGCAAATGTTGTGTACAGATTTTTGAATCCGCATATGAAAAGAGACGGAAGATGCCGTGGAGTATAATAACTTATAATGGCTGTCAAATAATAGTCCATAAAGATACCCGAATCGAGGAAGACTGAATAAAAAGGGTATACCGATTTGTCAGTCGGTATTTCAGGAGAATTGAATTATGTAATTTTATCTATATCCGTAAAATGGCGCATGAAAATAACTTGACCCTAACGGCATTAGAAATGTTCAGTGGATGAGATGGCAGCAGAAAATCGCAAGTTTTTGGGTTTTCCCTGTTCTGGCAAGAATTATGAACTTATGAATTTATGAACAGGTCAATTTGGAGAGAGAATCATCAAAAAATTAGCATATGAAGAGCAAAGGAATTTCCGATTCACATTACGGAATATTTTAGATTTTATGATTATGTTTCTGCTGAGTGAGTCACCGTTTTTGATGTGTGATATCCCGACCCGAAACACAACTTTGAGTACCGTGAAGAGGTTAATACCCTAAATTACGAGGATCCTAATTTTACACCTGACATTACGAAAATGATGCGTTGACATATATAAATAAGTCCCAATTTATGATAAAAACAAATAAACTTAATCCTGCCTGATATCCAAAGATTTTTAACGGCTTTTCATATTATGCTACATCAAGGAAAAATCAGCTGTCATATTTCTCTTAAAGAGCGTTAGAGAGGAAAGGAACATAAAAATCCTGTAGATTCCGATTGGTTCGACATTTTTAGGAAGTTCCTATACAAATGCTCATCACATACTCCTTAAAGGTAGTTTCAAAGTACCTAAAGTTTGAGTTTTTTTTTACTCTTTGAAGTCCTTTTTTCCTTGAACGTTATGGATCAGGTATATACGTTCACCCGGATCTCCTGAAGTAATTTTCATTTAATGTTAAAGTATCATTCCTCATAATTTTCCCCCACATTTCAGCAGGTGGGAAAATTGCGATGTGAGTATTCATATATCACCATTTAACTGGTCAAAAGCCGAATTTGTATTAAAAAATTCAGATTTCACCGAGCTGCCTTTGTCAAATCATGATGTGACCAGTCATTTTGCAATTTGACTGGATTTTGACTTTCAATGGCAACATATTCATCAATTGTATTCTTCTGTGACATTCGGGTGAAGGTAGCCTTGTTATGCACACACAACAGACAAGGTAAATAACGTTACCCATCGAATTTTCCAAAAGCGATACCTTCGTTAATATCAAACACACACATTCAAAATTTTGAATTACCTTTTTACTAGTTTTTCTGGGACATGAACAATTTACTATTTTATGCCGCATGCACAATCTTGGATGTAACTTTTAAAAAGCAAGGGCAGGCCTTGCGGCCTCTTAATCATGCAATTTCAATAACTGGCCCTCCGAGGAAATGTGTACGGAATGAAAGCTTTAGAACCGACACATTACCTTCTTCCACTACAAACTGCAATATAGGGAAGAGAAAAAAATCTAAGAAATTTTTAAAGTGATAGAATTAAGACTTGAGTTTGCCCTATGGTCAAATTTTGCATAAAGATTGCTTCAAAATGAATCTCTCAGAGAGAATAACATAATTTCAACTATGTATATGGCTGTTTTTGGTCCCAGTTAATGATGTAGTTGCACCCACTAGAAGTATTTTTGATTCAACCACATTCCTGGGTGATTAGCCACATCTCTGGCTGGAGCATGCATCTCCCATCCATTTGGTGCTAAAATCAGCCAACGCAACGGTATATTTGAAATCATCATGATTCTTCCTGTGAGGAATGGTCCATTTTCCACTCGTCCGAAGCAGACCCCTCCTAGATCCATACTGGGAGGGTCAAGACCCCCACCCGGAGAGACATCAAGCAACCCCCAGAAAATTCTGTAGCAAATGCCACGCCGTATGTCATGCTGGCGTTCTTGCCAATTTTTTGTAGAAACTAATCACATTTCCTGACTGCAATGAAAAATGAATTTTTTTCTGATGNTGGTGGTCATTGGTCGCTGCCGATAAACTCATGAACGGAGCAAACTTTGCTTTCGAGTTGGTCTTAACCGGGCGGAGACAAAAGGAACAAAAGGCGACTGGCGCACAGTGGATCGTGCCAATGATCCACTAGGAGAGGTCGGACAAAATTTGAACACTGTAAAAGCTTATAACTCCGTTCATACAAAACTTTTAGGTGGGTCTCAGGATATGAAAATGGCGTTGGTATTCTAGATTCTACCCTTTTTTTCTTCAAAAGAACCACTACAAATTTTCCTAACCCTATCCCTAATCAATCTTACTCCTAAAAAATTATATTAAATGTCTCTAGATGTCTGTAGGCTTCTCTAGAGTCCCTTCATACTGAGAGTCAAGACAACCCCCCCTCATGGAGTCACAAACGGGGATGAAGATTGTACGAATAGAAAGTTTTTCGTAATCTTTGATCGGCCAATTCTCAAATTCCTTTCTCTGTCCCTTTTCTCGTTCCGTTTGTTCCTTGCCGAACCCATAATTCCCCGGTCCATTCCAGAGGACAATTTTTCCAATTGGTGAAAATGTAATCTTCATCCCGGCCGGCCAGGTTGGCCTAGTGGTTAGCGCGTCTGACTCTTGGTCAATAGGTCCCGGGTTCGAATCCCGGTGGTGGCGACAAAATTTTATGGAACTGACGAGTGGATCTGTAAGCAGAATTCGCTCGGCCTTAATCCGTGAAAATTTGTAAGCCCGAGCATGGATGTCTACCAAACTCCCTGATGTCTTCGGACAATAAATAGTGCCTATAGATGGCTGTAGATTCCTAAAGGAATAGAAGCCACTAAACTCTCAAAAAAAAAAAAAAAAAAAAAAAAAATCTTCATTCCCGTTTGTGACACTGTGGAGGCCTAAAATACGGGAACCAATCAGAAATGGATTTACATTGTCTTAACTCTCAGTATAAAGGGACTCTAGGCTTCTCTACTGGAGTAAAAGCCACTGAAATAACAAGAAGAAGAAGAAGAAGAAGAAGAGAAGGAAGAATAAGAAGAAGAGGAGGAGGAAGAAGAAGAAGAAGAAGAGAAGGAAGAAGAAGAAGCAGAAGAAGAAGAAGTAGAGGAAAAAGAAAAGGAAGAAGAAGTAGAAGAAGAAGTAGAAGAAGCAGAAGAAGAAGAACCTCGAGGTTCTACGAGTGGTTCCATTGGTTTCCTCGTAAAATTTTCTTTTGGAAACATCCCTTACATTTTAAAATGTGGCAAATTAGAAATAAAAATTCTCAGTTTTTGTTAAAAATTCCATGTCCGACCTCTCTGATTGACTGGCTCCACTGTGTGTCGGTTGAGCGGTGGGACCGAAGGAAGGAGCGTACCTATGCTGATCGCTGGAGGAGGCCCTCCGCGGTACCGGGTACCCAGACGGGGACGCACGGGGTCCCACCGCCAGCCACCGCTGAGTGACTACGACATCATATAAAAGACTCCTCCACCTTCTTCTTCCCCACTTTAATTGTTCGCTCATCCGATCGCGGACCCGCGGCTCTCGACGCTGATTCGTAGCCTTTCGACTTGGTGCGCGTGTTTCGGCTAAGTTGGTTTTGTGACTTGAAATGTGCGTGTGACCGAAGTTCGGAGTATCCTCGACGAGACAGTCCCTCTTTGGGGGACCTAAAAAGGGATTTGTGCCACCACCATGGGAGTCAGGATGCGCCACCCACTCCTGTGCTTAGGAGTTTTAACTGTGAGTACCACTTCTCGCCCCTTTTTTTCGTCTTTAGAAACATAGTTTCACCCATTGTGACTGTAGGAACCTCCAATTTTTGAAATTTTGAAAAAAGTTTATTTAATGAATGCTCAACCAAGGAATCCCACACTGGAGAAGCTGACTAACTGGACTAGCTTAGCCCATTTTGACTTAGGGGACCTCGAATTTTCGAAATTTTTAAAAATTCTTATTTAATGATTGCTCAACCAAGAAACCCCACACTGGAAAAGCTACTAACTGGACTAGCTTAACCCATTTTGACTGAAGGGACCTCGAATTTTCGAAATTTTTAAAAATTATTTTTTAATGAATGCTCAACCAAGGACTCCCACACTCGGAAAAAAAGGACCCTGGATCTAGAGTTCAGACCCTTAAGACATCTGGCTAAAAAAACACTCTTGACGTTATCGGATGTGTGCTTATAAGATCCGCTCTCACAGCGCTCTCGCGCCAGAGATTTCTGGATCCACCTATGCTGCCGTGCTAAGGAGGAACGCCGTATGAAAATTCGGGAGTTGCCAAATTTCCTTCGATAAAATGTTCATTTTTGTGGAGAGCTATGAATATGTTTCCTTGAAATTTTCAGGGACTTTAGGTGAAATTGCCAGCAAAAGTTTCCGAAAAATTGGAAAGAAAATATTCATAAGTTTACCAGGAAATTTGTGAGGAAATGTTACAGTTATATATATTACTACACAAGTCATTGAATATGTAAAATTTTAAAGATTTATAAAAATTACAAAAATTTTAAAAAAAATTTAAAAAACAAACTTAAAATCACTCACTTGCATAAGATTTAAAAAATTTCAAAAATTAAAATTTAAAATTTGTCAAAAATTAAACATTTTATGCAAGTGAGTGATTTTAAGTTTGTTTTTTAAAAATGTTTTTAAATTTTTGTAAATGTTTAAAAAATTTAAATTTTACAGAAAATTCATGTTTTATCAAAGGAAATTTGGCAACGCCTGGAGGTTCATTCGGCGTTTTTCCTTAGCACGGCAGTACGCCTCCGCTCACCCTCTAGCCGAGCCAGAGTTGGCATCGCAGTGTCATCGAATCTCATTCATGGGAGGTTTACCAGATTGTATCGAGTGAGGCAGGATCGCACGGTTAAAAATCGATTAAGGAGCGTGCCTGATACTGGAGTAGCACGCACCTTTGCAAGTCCGTAAATCAACGATGGGGTTAGATAACCGGAGTTGCACGACCCGGGGCCCACCGCCGCCGCTGAGGGCCCCGGGGGCGGAGGGGGCTGCGGCGGGTGGCGGGTGGGTAGTTATGTCGTTTTGATTGATTTGCCGCTGCGGAGGCTCAGTGTCTGGAGCTCCATACGCGTGTAAAGCTCGCGACTTTACAAGCTCGTCGCAAGCTGCGCGCGGACGCCGCCACGCCGAGACAGACCTAACAGAGGAGAATAACTCATTAATTTAGGTGTGACCTACTGATTATTCAATTCGTCGCTGGGCTGCAGAACGATCTCTAGGTCAGCGATGCCACATTGCGCTAATCGTCTGCATCCGGCTATAGATTCATTGATAAACGGAGAGAGGATAACCCCAAATATAAATGTTGAGATTGAACTTGAGTTCGTAAATTAAGGTGATTCGACGGTTGCCGTTTTTTGTGTCAGAGCGGCGTGCGATATATCGCATCAATTCGTTCCATGATTTCAGCTACTTGTCGTTTTTTTCGAATTTTGAGATCGCACTTCTGTTGTCACGAGACTAAAGACCAAAGTCAAAGAAATTGAACGTATTAAAGGCAGGGTTTTTTCAGAGGAAAAATATCGTATTCGAGTGCAGTTTCTATATCAGTATCGAATGCGACATTTTTCCTCTAAAAAAAACCCTGCCTTTATTTCATCGAATTTCTTTGTCAAGTTTGCTACATGAATTCTTTGGTCTCGTGACACCAGAAGTGCGATCTCAGAATTCGAAAAAAATGACAAGTAGCTGAAATTATGGAATGATAACTGATACGATATATCGCACGTCGTTCTGACACAGAAAGTGGCAACCATGGAATCACCTTAAATCTCTCGTTTAAAGATGAAACTTCACTCTACTGCATTCCTTACAATTACAGTTAGTGCAAGAAAAGCCGGAACGCCTTCAGTTTTGTTCTATGCAACACAGACATCATTTGAGCTGGTTTAGTTGCATCAAAACCTTACTGTTGAGACCGCTTTTCGCGAAGCCGCACTCCTTGCAAAATCGTCACCGTGTGGGCCAGATTATTGAAATTTTGTGTTTGTCTGGCGGACATAGGTTAAACGGCGTAGCGAGATTGGTCGGCTAAGTCTCATCGCTGCTTTGTCGCGCCTTTGTCAGGTGCAACAAACGACATAATGTCGGGACCTAAAGAGGTGCTTTCAGTCTGTCGTGAATTCCACCTGACCAAGGGACCACAAAGCCAGCGATAAGACATAGCCGACCAATCACGATCCGCCGTTTACCTTATGTCCGCCCGACAAAAACAAAATTTCAATAATCGGCCCGCAGGACTTGGTTCTCTAGAAAATGCTCCCAATTTTCTACATATGTTACCAAACATCTCTGCACGCTAGCATTGCAATCGGCCATTGATAGTACGCACTGATGGCGTTTAGATGTTTTCAGAACTGGACCAAAGATGATCTCATCTGAGCTGCGAGGAGAACAATGGGTGATCGGAGTGTAATTTCGTGCGGCAACCTCGCATGTGTGTCAGTGCTCTCATATTCGTGTCTAGTTACATCACATCAATCATCTTCTCTACTTCAGTCGGGCTCACGTCCCGCCATCGGAATCTGAGTCTCGAGTCGCGACCCAAGCCACCCTGAGCACCGCTGATAGTCTCCCTGTCTCCTCTGCTCGCTAAGGGCGCGAATCGGGTGGAAAAAATTACCGATCCACAGAAATCCCCTCCCTCTCTTAAAGTTTGCCGGTGATGAAGGTTTTGCACTTCCATTGAGAATCACAGGCTGACCCATCAGCACCACACAGTGGATCGAGTCAATGCAATGGGCGCGTTCAGAAACAATTCGGAAACTTTAAAAGCTTATAACTCCGTTTAATCAAACCTTTGAGATCGTAAAAATGGTTTCATTAATCTCCTCGTAAAATTTTCGTTTAGAAGCACCCCTCCACATTTAAAATGTGACGAATGGAGAATTTGCATGCAACTGTTTTATTTTTTCATCTGAAAGTGCTTGAAGAGCTGATTTCACGGTATTTTTCATAATTTTGTTTCTGATATGGGAAAAAGTACAAGACTAGATTTAAAAGAATAGATTTAAGAAAAAATGATCTGCCTGGTGACGTCATCTGGCGGCATTTCTCATTTAAACACACGTATTTTAGCAGATTAGAACATTTTGTCACATCTTCTCCAACAATTGTTCAATTCGTGAACCAAGGGTATCCTCGTGTTCAGTTTACTTAGTAGTTTCCACTTGAAAACGAAATTCATAAAATTTCAGACACCTGCAAATTCTCTATTAAACATCAAAATTTGTACTTTTAGTCAAAAATTTCACGTCCGACCTCTCTGATTGACTCGATCCACTTTTTAGACTGGACAGATTTTAAAAATTGCCGTCGAGCGCAGTTTTCTATTCGAAAATAAAGTGTGACATGAAGTCTGCATCGTCGCAAACCGAGAAACATGGTTACGGCCTTACACCGTCAATTTTTTCTGTCCGTATCCCGGTGTCTATTCAATTGTAGACATCAGATGTAAAATCATGCTAAGATCTATCTTCCATTCGTTTATTTATTATTATCTAAGACTTGCATAAAACTACGCCTTCATGTCTAGAAGTATTTCAACTCAGTGAGAGTACCTCACTGCCAAAAGTATCGCGGAGCACATGATTAATTAAGATCATATTGGTCTAGTGACCCACCTCATTACCGAACAGCGGCAAGGCTTGAAAACGACTATCGATGTCCCGCCAATTGAAGCTATGGAAAAGAATCGATTACTAATTTGTTCGTTGCGGACACCCCGATAATCGATCCTTTCCCATAGGTTTAAATGGCAGACCAATCGACTGGTCGCAAAGCTCGACTCGCCAGCGTTGCCAAATTGCACGGGCCAAAGTTCAGTTTTCATAACATCCATTGGGGAAAAAAGTAGGGATCTGGAGCACTTTGGCAAAGGGGTGAAGGGGTTTGATTACTGTTCCGGTCGGACGTGACTCGGTGGATTTGAGTGGCGCGCGATCAGGTGGCTCAAGAGGAGGCGTTTATTGCTCAATTATTCTATATTATGTCAATTTGATTTTGACACTTCCTTCTTCTTCTTCTCCCTCCTCCTCTTGCTCTCCAGCCTCAACGCACGGGTCGATTCCCCGGTCCCCGTTCTGAATATGCCTCTCATCTTCCGCTTTCCGCACTCGCTTGCTCAAGTGCGATCCAATAAAGCGGTCAACTTAGAGTCCCTTTATACTGAGAGTCAAGACAACACCCCTCATGGAGTCACAAACGGGAATAAAGATTACAGAAATTGAACGTTTTTCGTAATCTTTGATCGGCTCATTCTCAAACTCCTTTCTCCGTTCCTTCTCTCATTCCGTTTGTTCCTTGCCGAACCCGCAATTCCCTGGTCCATTCCAGAATATAATCTTTGCAATCGGTGAACATGTAATCTTTATTCGCGTTTGTGACACAGTGAAGGCCTAAAATACGGGAACCAATCAGAAATGGATTCACATTGTCTTGACTCTCAGTATAAAGGGACTCTAGGTCAACTGATCATTGATTTTAACGACACGATGGTTGTCGACAGTGTTCGAAACTCACAGGCGCCAACGCGCCAAATGCGCTTAAAAAATGAAGGCTCTGCGCCATCGTGGCCCCTAAAAATTGCCCCCTTAAAATCTGAATTTTCATATTAGGTGATTATTCGAAATTTTCAGCACCACAAGTGAAAGCTCTTTCTATTATTCACGATTTCATCATTTGTGTTTTTGTCTTCCCCAAGTTACAACTATG